AAAATAAAAAAGACAATTGAGTTTTTAACAGTCAAATGGATAGGTAGCGTCAGCAAGGATCAATAGTGCACAAAAATCTTTACGTAAGCACCACATTCAATACGTGTATGTCTCATGACAGGAATTCGTTCTTCACGTTAACTATTTGATACGAATGTGGAAATGAAGTTCGAATTTCAAGGTACAATTACTTAAAACATGTTTTTGGCAAATTTCATGGAAAATAAATTCCTACGATTTTGGTGATTGTTTTTGCCAACTTATATGAAATTTGTTTGTATTTTCTACATTTGCATTCAAATGGATCTTTAATAAAATAAAGAGTTTGGCCACTTTATTATGATTTCACTTAAAAAGATGCATATTTTAGTGTGTGTGTACACACACACACACACACACACACATATATATATATATATATATTTTTTTCTGGAAAATAAATTCTTATGATTTTGGTGATTTTTTTTCCAACTTACATGAAATTTATTTGTTTTTCCACCTTTGCAATCAAACGGATCCTTAACAAAATAGAGCGTTTGGCCACTTTATTATGATTTCACTTAATAAGATACATATTTTAATATTCTACTTCTGAAATTATTAAAAATCAAATTTGAATTGATTGAGGATGGACATTTATAGATTAAAGTCCCGTTTGGTAGCAATTTTGCACCCTAGAAATTCAATTTTTAACCGTTATTTCACTATTTCAGACGTCATTTTTTACTTGTTCACTCACTGGTGGGATCTACTTTTATCACTAATGATCAAAAAGTCAATTCTCATAATAACTACCGAACAAGCCCTAAATAAAGGATATTAAGTTAAAAATTAATAAATGTTTATTAAAAAATGCAAAATAAAGAGGCAACATAGAAAGAATTAGCGAGAAAAAAATGTTAGTAAATATGAGTAATAATACATTTGAAGGAAGCGAGAAATAAGTGTAAGTGTTATGCCCTAGATCCAATCGATTTAGGTTGTAAACGCTTTTAATATATTTAATGCATTTGATTTTGGCGAGATCTATTATTTATTTAAATTGATTTTGTGATAAATAATATTAAATAATAGAATCCGAAGACCCAATTTTTAGGTAATCTGTTAATCACAAGAAGTTGTGATTGTGAGATACAAATTACATATAATTGGATCTTGAATAAACCATGGTCGTAAGTAATAACGAGATACGGATATCGTTAATACAGTTAGACCATCACGTGTGGCATTTCTTACTTGTGAAGTAAGTAGCTGATCTCACGAGCTAAAGTGTGGTGACACTTAAATGAACATGTGGATGTTTTGTTGTAGAACAAAACATTGGAGACCCGCTAAGAGATTCCACATGGATAACTATCTGAGTGTCAGTGGCTAATCTCTAACGTTCGGTAGTGGGATTAATCCTTTGACTTGAGGTCGTCATAGTACCCTATATGAGGACAGTCATACTTTGGCGGTGTTGGATGTTGCTCTGAAAAGGGCCGCTAATACGACATCGTTCGGGTACGTCAAGAATCGTGTGAAGGTTGTGATTGATCAATAAAGGATTCGTCACTCTTAGATAGTAGGAGATGATCTGCGTTTCATTCAATTAAGTCGATGATGAAATCCTTGGCCAAGGTGTACTCATAAGTCGAAAAGGAGTTTTCGATTTATATTGATTTAATAGTGGAATGAAAGAGGTCGTCATAGTACCCTATATGAGGACAGTCATACTTTGGCGGTGTTGGATGTTGCTCTGAAAAGGGCCGCTAATACGACATCGTTCGGGTACGTCAAGAATCGTATGAAGGTTGTGATTGATCAATAAAGGATTCGTCACTCTTAGATAGTAGGAGATGATCTGCGTTTCATTCAATTAAGTCGATGATGAAATCCTTGGCCAAGGTGTACTCATAAGTCGAAAAGGAGTTTTCGATTTATATTGACTTAATAGTGGAATGAAAGATATGATCGATGATCGAGATTGACACAATTCCATATCTCGTAATTGATCGGATCGTATTGACGAAGGGATAATAATTCCATGATAAACGAACGATTTTGGTTTTGTCATACCACGTGACATTTCCCGTCACATGTATTGTCCTGACACATTGCTAGATGTCAATCAGGGACGGCGAATGTGAATTGACGATAAATTAAAAGGGTGTATTAATTTATCGATTTTGATTAGATCAAAATAATATTTCACGACGTTAGGCATCGTGGTCGGGAACCTAATGGGTCGCACACAAAAGAGAATTGGAAGACTGCAAATTGTTAATTGATTAATTTAACAATCGTTGGATAAATCAATTAATTGAATTTCTTATTTATAATCCCGAATTAATTAATTGGATTAATTAATTCACGGACCGGGTTTGATTAATTGGATTAATTAAATATTGGACCGGACCGGGCCGGGTCCGTTTGGGTTTATATATATATGCAGCTAGGGTTTGAGGTCCATTAAGTCATTCATTATTCTTGCTAGCACAAGAAAGAAACCCTAGCAGTTGCTGTTTTCTCTCTGTGTGGATTTCATTGGAGGCTGCACAATTGGACAGCTGTGGGAGGCAGATTCAAGCTGCTGGAAAGGAATAACGCGAAAGAGTTTGCAAATCACACAAAAGGTATATTTCTCATCACAGTTTTTATCTAAATACAAAGCTGAATCCTGAATGGGAATTGAAATCTGTTAAATTCCGCTGTGCATGTTTAAATCAATTCCCAACAATAAGAATTAGCGTACTATTCTTGTAAAAAAAATAAAAAAAATGGCAACAGATATGATATAAATTTAATTGCACAGAGAAAGCAACGGCCTATAAGCATAGTTAATTAGTATACACAAAATAGCAGCATTTATCATAAGATAGTTTTAGTCACTGCATTCCCATCTTATACAATTTTAGAATGATTTATGAACATTTTATCCATTTAACATCACATGCTTTAATTTATCGTATTTATTCTTGATTTTATTTTAGTTTTTTCATCTTTTCTAATGTTTACATTAATTTTCTAAGAGGGAGACACCATGTGGAAAATTGTTGTTGCATTTTTTTAATATTTCAAATGTATGATATCGTAATAAGTAATATAGTAAATCTTTGAGTTTGGATTAATACAGTTTTCACAAGAGCTATACTTTGATGCTTAATTTATTAATTCTAATTTCTATTTGATGAAAAATAAAAAATTGTGATTTGGTGATAGATATGGAATACATATTAGGGTATAACAATTTTACCTTTAAATCTTAATTCAAGATTCATAAATCTAATATAGCTTGGCCCAATGAAAAACTTAGATACTCATTGTAGATGAAGAACAACAATAAATAATAACGAAGTACGCGCTAATAAATATATTAAAAACATTCAATACTCATAAATTTAGCCCTTAATCAAGTTAAAATAGTATAAAACTTGTGAATAAAACATACTCATCAAATACTCTCAAACTTAACAATTTATTAGTCTCAAGCAAACACGAAGAAAAATAAAATAACTAAGACACACAAACAAAAACTTAGTCAGATAGCTTGCCTTTTTGTTCAGTATTGAGAATGTTATATCACCTTCGTGAGCGGCTTCAAAATCGCGATGCAAGAGTCAAACTTCCTCTTATTCAATACAAAACTAGTATGTGTGTGAAGAATCAAATGTAACATCATACATTTACAAGTTGACACAATTCTCGATCCTCAATAGTTAACTATTTCCTTTCTTCGCTCTTAAGATTCATGTACCCCCAAATTTGTTTCTTTCATTCTCTCCAAAGGTTTAATTCTAAGGTTTAGTTTAACTGATCAGTTCCTTACGCCACTCCAATTTAGCTAAGTCTAACTGACAATGTTAACAATTTATTCGTGTGATAATTCTACCAAATTATGAGTGTTTCAACAAGTGATTCAAACCCTCTAGTTATCCAAGTCCTAAACAATTAGCTCTTACTTACACATTTGTATAAAGTCCCCAACAAGAAAATGTATATTAATTACATATTCTTAATTTGTGTAAAAATGAAAGCAGGTGGTGAACATCACATATACTAAAAAATAACATTGTTCCTATCATCCTGATTGGAGCTTAAATCAATTAATGTTACAATTTTTTAAGAGTTCATGCTAACAGAGCCGCCCTTGAGATTTGGGGTGCCCTGTGCGAGATTTTTTTTTACATACATGAACAAGAAAAACATAAATAAAGTTCAAAAGCATCTATCTCGAATCAACAAAAAACTATCCAAGCCACTAGCCTCTTCGTGCAATTCCATATAAGCAAACCTTGAAAAATATTTATATAAAGCCCGAAATGCAACAAACCATGTAAAAACATTTCTTCTCGCATTTTTAGAAACAAACTCACTAATTAAACTTTCGTAAACAATATTTTCTAGAAAGTCTTGCTTAATAGATATCAAAGTTAATCCATTCAATTTAAGGTTCTCATTTTTTTCTTTCTTCTCTCAATTTTTCTTTCTATCAAGGGCCGTTGCTCATGTTCTTTCTTCTCTCAATTCACTGGCCAGCCTGATCTCTTTTCAACTTTTCCCTTTTCCCTCACATTATTTAATGTAGGAATACTATTTAAGAAAATTATAATTAGTTAGCGCATTATACTTAATTTTAATATCTTATGCATAATAATAAAAATTTTATTTTTTAAAATTAATATATTTTTTAAATAATTAATTTTAAATAAATATATAACTATTAAAAAAAATTTTGGTACCCCTACAATTTTGAAGCCGTCACTCAATTCGCGCACCCTCAATGCCACCTCTGCATGCTAGTCAAATACGGGAGAACGATTTGCTCTCTCCCTCTCTCTCACACACATACACACTGACACCGACACTGACACACACATATTCTAGGCCTCATACAAGACAGCCTCACGTGTGAGTTGTTGTAGATATATGTGATTGGTGCAACTTGGTTTTGTTTTGTATTTTTTTATGCTTGAGTGAAGCCTTTAAATGGAGAGCAAACGCGGCTCTTTCACCTGTACCCCCTCTTTACGTGTATTGTTTCATTGCAAACGAGAAAAAGTGACAAGATTCAATAACTGAGAGAGAGAGAGAGAGAAGCTGAAATGGCTCTAGAGGCTGTTGTTTTCCAGCAAGATCCTTTTAGCTATGCTGATTGGAAAGACTACTGCAATATGGGGGATTATAGCTTTGACCTTGGAATTCAAGACCAGAGGCCGAATACTGAACAAATATCAAATGGATATTGGGATTCTACACCTTCATCTATTGCTCAAAGTTCTTCACCAGAAATTTGTGCCGGGCAAGGGATATTTTCCAGCGGAGAATACTCTTCAATGGTGGATCCGGCTGTCGACACCACCAGCCAGTGCAAGAGGAGAAGGACCAAGAGCTCCAAGAACAAGGAAGAAATAGAGAACCAAAGGATGACTCATATTGCCGTCGAAAGAAATAGGCGGAGACAGATGAATGACTACCTTGCCATCCTCCGCTCCTTGATGCCACCTTCCTACGCTCAAAGGGTACGTTTTCTCTCTCCCTCACACACCTCACCCTCCTACCTGGAGTCTAAAGTCAACCTGGTTACTAAAGAATAACTCAAACGAATCACAAACTTCTATCCTTATTATAATAGAAGAAATATAACTAATGATGAATGATCTATTGAAACAGTGGTGACGTGTCATATAAGTCCATTGGTGAATAAACTTATGGTGGGATTCAACATTTGAATTAAATTTAATATCTATCAATGAATTTATATGACACGTCGACGATGCTTAACATAAGATAATTATCAATGCTCAATAGATCATTCTTGTGTATAACTGATTACTGCTGAACATAATTTTTACATGCACATATTTTTGTTGATGAAAAGCTGGGACTTTTTAAGACATTGTTAGTGTACATTGTTCAAAAAATTTAGTATTATAAGTACCAATATTTTCTTGGAAGTAATATTATTGTTGATTTTTTCTTGATACATATGATTAGGGAGATCAAGCATCAATTGTTGGGGGAGCTATTAATTTTGTGAAGGAGCTCGAACAACTTCTCCAATCTTTGGAAGCCTATAATGTGGCCAAGAAGCAACACTACACTAGTATTAGTACCCACTCCCATTTATTCTCCAGGTTCTTCACCTTTCCTCAATACTCAACATATCCAACTCGCCATGGAAATTCGACGGCCGGCAGCAGTGCGTGTGATATGGCTGAGAAGCGGTCTGCGGTGGCGGACATCGAGGTGACAATGGTTGAGAATCATGCTAACATCAAAATATTATCAGGGAAACTGCCAAAACAAATTTTGAAGCTGGTAACTGGATTACAGTCTATTTCTCTAACAGTTCTACACCTAAACATCACCACCATTGAGCAATTGGTACTCTACTCCATCAGCGTTAAGGTAATGTACATGTTAAATCAAATGCTGAAATTTACATTATCTTTTCTCGTCTTTTCTATTAACACACACAATTATTTATAAAACATAATGATCTCAACACGATTTATGATTTTCTCAATTTAACATAGCTATATAATTAAAATTTCTTGCGTAAAAATTTAAAAATTCCACAAATTCTGCCATTAAATATTGGATGATACTACACGTATATAATGGTATACACACTAGTTTATACTTCTTTCACATGAAGAGGGACCCACATATAATAAATTATGCGTGCCCCCTCCAGGTGAGAGGGGTATAATCCTTTTATACTCCTTGAGATATACAAAGCAACATTACCCTTAAATATATACAAAAAATAAAAAAGGTGTGTTAGCATTTGTCATCAGCAAATGAAATTAGATTTTATCTCAACAATCCAAAGAGAATAATTCTATTTGTACTGAATTGGGGGTATCGAAAGTTGTCCCCCCCTCGCCCCCTCACAACGCACATGGGCCAATCGTGAAAATAAAAATTCCAAATGTTGCCCGCACCTCCTATTGTAAGTAGTAGGTAAATGATTAGATAAAAAAAATTATATACATATAGTATTGTCTATCAGGAGATTATTTAAATGAGGATGGTTCAACATAGTTTTGTAAAATATCTAAATCATGAGTTTAAATTCAATTCTACCGTTTTTAAAATTTGAACATGCGTCACATATCTAACAAACAATCATGCTACAGAAATATAAAGTTGGACATAATGGTTGATATAATGTCACATGACATTTCATTATCACATTGTTTTAAACACAATCATTTGTCCCACCCAATCACCTTTCACTATGGCATCTTCTGTCACTGCATCTGACTGACTACTTCTTCTTCTGACAAAATAGCATTATTCTCTAACAAATAAATATGATAAGCACATGAATAGACGTGTTGAAGACAATAATTCAAACACATAAACTAGTCTCTTCTTTAATAGCTGAAACGTGTAGATAAAACAGTTTAATGACTTATTAAACTAATTATGAATTCATTATTAATTATCTCAGGTTGAGGATGATTGCCAGCTGAGTACAGTGACTGTGATTGCCAATGCAGTGCATGATATGTTAGAAATTATCCAAGAAGAAGCTAGGTCTAGCTGAGACAACGCGCCCACCGCCTGCGGAAAAGCGGGTTGGAATTTCTCATATTGTCAACCTTACTAGACTTATTATTATTATTATTATTATTATTATTATTATTATTATTATTATTTTATTTTATTTTATTTTATTTTTTGGTTTTCAGTGCAACGACAATTAGAAAAGCCTAATGCTCTATCAATTCGTAGATCAGGGCCTAATAATATGGACAACTTTGATAAAGACTTGCTACAAAATTAATACATGGTTAAATTGATTATTTCCCCGAATATCATATCTCCTATAGTTTGTCGTTATATGAAAAAAAAAATTATATAGACTTGTTAATGGAGCATACTAATTAATTATTAAACTAAATATAATTAATTAAGTATGTTCACATTTGAATCCAGATTAATCTCAATCTAGTCACATTTTTATTTTCTTTATACTATATATATATAGGGATGTTTGATAATATTTTTCTTGAATATATTAATTTTTTTATTCTCTTACCTTTCATTTATATATGTGTAAATAATGCAATTTGAAATCAGCACTTTATAACTTAAATTTTATCTATTATATTTTTAATTTTCTAATAAAAAGAAATTATCAGGAAATAAATATTTTTCTTTAGAAGAATAATAACTTTTAACTAGTTTGACTAGATACCATGTATCTAGTGTATGTCGCAATCCAATATTTCTTTAATATCTTCACGTTGTAGGATAATATGTACACTAATGATAGGACCCATTAATTTTGAGATTAAATTATGCCCTTAATTTGTTGTATTAGTCTAGGTTGAACAAATTGAACTCAGATAGTTTGTCGCTATACACCATAGTGAAAAAAATTAAATTAAATAATAAAATTATTACACGACTCCATTCCAAACACACTTTTCATTTCTTATTTTTTGAGTACAAAATAATTCAACAGAAGCAAACATTCCATAAGTTGATTTGATGACCAAAATGAATACTAAACTACATCAGTAATTCAATTTCGTGAACTGATTGTGTTCTATACTTGTGAAAACAGAAATATTAGACACAAATTTCATTTTCTGAACTGCCTTTATTTTAGCCTTGATTGATTCCTATTTTTTTCAAAATATATTTTTCTCTCTTTTCATTTCAATTACACATTTTCAATAAAATAATTTTACATGCAAACCCAAAATTTTTCTTTATTTTTTAACCACACATTCTTCATCAATTTACTATTTTGAAATACATCCTTAACCTCAATTCATTAAACTTGAATAGTTGTAATTAATGTTACAAGAAATTTCCAGTACAGTTGATTATTGATACAGTACTTGACAAAACAATTAATAACTTGTTTCTTTCGAATCTTTATAATTTTATACTGTTCAAGGTAACAAGTGTATTCTAAGATAAAAGAGATAACAATAGTTCAAAAGTATATTAGTTTTTTTTTTTTTTTTTATTTCACTATTAATTTTTCGCTTTATTACTCTATAATTCATATTAAACTATATTTTTTTTTTGGTCAAGTTTGAGCTATTAGTGAGGGGCATCCCCAATGTTGTTAGACATACGAATATGTTGCACTGTTAGACCACTTTTTTTTTCGTGTTTTTGTCTCCTTGGGATTATAATTATTCCGAAATGAAGCCTTGTGTGTTTGGTACTTGGTCTTTATTAGGCCTAATAACAGTTAAATTTGATCACTAATGAGCAAAGTTTCATGAGCAGGACTAGCCTTTTGTCAACATGCTCGTAATGTCTTCCACCGTTATAAAGAAAATAGAGAAATTCAAGTGATAGTTGTTAAGGGAATATAATCCCACATCGGTAAAATATCGAAATAATGATCAATAGATAAAGAATTGGGACACTCCTCTTAATAAGGTTGATCTTATTAAGATGGACTACAAATCTTAACATGGTATTAGAGCCCATTAAGTTCCAACGAGCGATTCGATCCGATTAAATCTCTAAAAATGAGCACACGGATTTCAAGATTGGTCTGCTCAAACAAGTTACCATCTTGCGGGGGCATGTTAAGGGAATATAATCCCACATCGGTAAAATACCGAAATAATGACCAATATATAAAGAATTGGGACACTCCTCTTAATAAGGTTGACCTTATAAGATGGACCCCAAATCTTAACAATAATTTCTCAATTTATGTGTTCTAAGATAAACTGAAAAATCTTAACGATGGAGAGTACCTTCTATTGTACCCATGTGATGCGGAGTGTCGACATGTATAACATAACAAAAGAAATAACCTTGAGTCGAGAAAAGATAGTGTAAGCTCAGTTTCATCGGTTCAAAACCAAGTGAAGTTGTTAGTAGCAACTTTATGCTGCAGTTACCCACCTCATATTATCGAACTCATTCCAAAAGGACTAATGTAAAAGTAGAATCAAAACATGTTAGTGAAGTCAGAGCTCACCATCATGGAAGATAATGCCGTATAAACTCTAATAAGATAAGACCAACTTGTGGTCTCAAGAGACCACTTGCATATCAAGATCCACTAAAAGTCATTAGTACACATTTTTCTTTACATCATGGTTGGCATCGTTCATGTTGTCAACAATTGATTAGATGAAAAAAATTGTTTTATTTTCAAACCGCCCAATGATGTTATGACACGTGAGTGATGTACATCAAGCATGATTGTTAATATTAACTCATTTAGGTAATAGATAATTTCGAAATATAAAAATAAAGGCTGCAACAAAATGATGTAAAAAGCTGGAAGTAATTACTGAAATAATCGAGAGAAGATAGCATGTCATGCGTGCATAGCAATGTTAAGAGTTCAGATAACAGTAAGCCAATTCTGGTAAAAGAATTTCATGAATTTGAGGCTATAGTACACGCATCTTTTCATAATCTATCTTTCAGGTATTGTATTATCAACCATTGAATTATTTAACTTTGAATCAACTTTATTCCTATATCAGGATTCTTTATAGAACACTTCCAAGACCGTAGGTGTATACCCATTGAAAGACCAAAGCACTTATACCCATCCTTTTGACTTGAGGTTCTAACTCAAAAGATTAATTTAATTGTTCAATTTTTTAATAATTTGGCAGTTTTTTGGATGTTAAATAGTATTGGATGGATTACTTGTTAATTATTTGTGGGCTGCCTCACATGATTCTTGGCTTTGTGGGCCTCTGTTATTGGGCCAAATGCTCCATCGGGTTGCTGTGGTTATTTCAAGTTTAATGAAATCGTGTTTTGATAAAAAAAAAAAGCCTTTTCAAGAATTAATTTTAGCCGTACATGTGGCTAAATCTCTACCATCTGATTGTTGGATGGATACGGATACTTACACTGGGTCTTGGCCTTTTCATTTGCCATTCTAGAGACTTCTGTTGTGCAGTCTCTTCGTTTTACTCTCTGTCCTTTGTTTTCTGAGTGAAAATTAGGGTTTGGCCTTGTTAGATGAAATCGATCTTTGTGATTGATAATATTCTGTTCTTTGTGTATAGAAATGGTTATTTTGTGCAATCTATGAGAGTGATAGCAATGTTGTGTTGTTGTGTCAAGAGGCAAGATAAACTCGAAGAAATTTCCAATTTCTTCGTATATTTGTATGCTGTTCTTGTTCGTTATTAGTGGATCTAGAGCTTAATCTCGTGAGAGATGCTCAACGGGTGATTTGGTTGCAAAACCGAACATCCGGGCCCTTTTAAAAGGGCAAAACATATCTTGTGTTGATTTTCTTTGATTTCTGCAGTTCGTTTAGTGTTTTTCTAAAGATCGATCCAAATGTTTTAAGTTTTAAAACATAACATTACTTTTTATTGTTATTGGAAGCACATCATATTTTTGACAAGGAGATGTGATAAGTACAATTCGTGCACTTATTTAGACCATATTATTAAACTTTTATGTCGTCAAATATTGAATTTTGTTTAATTTGAGTTGAATTTTTGTTTGTTTCAGTGTTTGACCCGTTTTGAAGCATTTGGAAAAGAAAAGGATCAATTGGTTATTAAATAGAAGTTGAGGATCAAAATTCACTTGAATAAAAATTGGAGGATCAAAAGTGATGGAACAATGAAGAAAATGACTAAGTTACATTAATTATAATGGAATGAGCCCTTGAAAGATAAATTGCAACTAATGGGACTTAAAAATGGACTTTTAGTTGTCATCAAATTGAAGAATTAAGGGAAAATTACCTAGAAATCTACAATGATAGACTAATTATCATAAATAAGGTGGATTAGTTTAAATTTCAAATATCAAGTGGTAATTAGAATTTATTAAATATAATTAAATCAAACTACTAAACACCCTTGACCCCGACCCATCCATCCCCTAATCAATTTTCCCCATTCTCTATTCTCTCTCTTCCCTTTCGACCCACAACCTCTCATACCCTAGCGTCATTTTTTCAACGGTTCAAAACCTGATATATTCCAAATGACGTTCTAATTAATTTTCCTTACTTAACTTAAATATGTTGTCTTAAGTAGTAATATAGCAAGTAAGGGTCATTTCCTGTAGAGGATTGGTTTAATTATGTCAATTGCGCACTAAAAAATAAAATTAAAAATAATATACGAAATAGGTTAAATGGGGGGTTTGGTTCGTTGAACTAAGGAAGGCGATAAATTTAAAATAGAAAAGACTTGAAATTTGAAATAAACAAAGTTGTTCTTGCTTGAATACAAGAAAATGTGATTGAGGCATATTTCGTCACCACGAGAATGATTTTCATGTCAATTACTATAGTAGATTTTCGTTCTTTAGATTAACAACAATTCGAGAATTATTATAAGCTCAATTATCTTAATCTCTTCATACATATTAGTTGAATAAAACAAGCTTTTTACTCAACCCTATTCATTAACCAACCTAAAACAAGCTCTCTAGATTTAATTTGAAAAACGCATTACGATAAAAGAGATGAATTGAAATAAGGGCAAACTTGCAAGCCCGGTTTACTAACTTAAGTGTTAATCAACATACATTCAATTGAAAATTCCTCATAATCTATCAAAATATAATTGCTACAATGTTTTAGAATAAATAGTGATTACGTACTATAAATCCTAAAATAGCATTAATTGAGACAATCCAATC